CTTTCCTGCAAGCTTATCGTTCGTTGCTTCTCTTGCACTCTTTCTATAAAGCGGATTGTTGAATCCATTCTTCGTTGAGATTGGTTCACTATTTGTCACCGTCGGATGATAACTAAAATTATAATTGCTTCGTTATCTTCTTTTTAATGACTTGCGCTTTTTCAGTAATACCAAATAGCTTTAGCAAATTCGGTTAGATAAAGTGATTTATTCAGGAGTTGACTTCCAGTAAACAGAGTGAATATCCTTGAAAACCTAGTGTCAATACACTTATTCTATGCTAACTCATTTTTTAAGTTAACACTAGATAATGTAGAATTGAAAAGAAGGAAAGGAAAAGTTAATGTGACAGGATTGTAATAGGAAAATTATTGAATTTGGAATATCATAAAAATATTCCGGTATAGATGCAAATGTTTTCATTTTTTGACAAACAGAAGGATAATCGTAAACTCACGTGATAGTAGGAATAGTAGGACCACGTTCCTTTACATATTTTCGTCGATAGTAAAAAACAAGAATTAGAAGAATAATCATTACCACATACAGGCCACTAACAATTGAGCTCATAATTACCACTGTAGTGCGCTCTTTCGGTAGATGCTTCAGCTCTTAATTTTTATTAAGAAATATAAATATTAAGTGAAACTGAAATAATATATCTTAGCTTACAGTAACGGCATTTGAAAGTTTTATACAGTAATATAAATTTTAAATAGATAAACAAAAGAGGTAAAGACTATGATGAAGTAAATTTTTCACTTGAGATTCAATTCCAAATATTACAAGTAGCATTGGGCACCTTATCATAACATTCGTTAAGAAAAATTTGCTTTACCACTGTTTTAGCTTGAAGAATAAACATTCTAGAAAGGATTACGTTCAGTTACATTAATTTCCTAAATTTTTTGCTCCGTCTTTTCATGTGTCCTCGCATGATCCTTTCAACGAATAGAAAAAAACTTCATACTGGTAGGATCACAGGAAAGATCGTTCTTCTTGCAACAACCGATCACCGGGTTGCAAATATCTTCACCACAGTCGCAAACATGCGCACACTGTTCTCCCCAAAAACCTTCAGGACAGACTGCAAAATATAATTATTAAATTGACTAGATTGCTATTAAATAACTATTTTTTCACATTTTAAAGAGATTTATTAAAGAAATGTACTTAAAATTGGTATTTGGCTTGAAAAGCATATGTCATAAAGAAATATCTGATCAAATCAAAAAAAGGTTACCAAAACTTACTTTGATCACATTTCGGCCCAGTGAATCCTGGATGACAGACACAATCACCCGTTGTTGCTTGGCATCTCGAGTTTTCCATTTCACAAGAACATCGGAAAACGCAATCTGGACCCCACGAACCTTCAGGACAATACTGATTACACAGATCGCCCATAAGACCTACAGAAATGCTGTTCAGTAAAGAAATAAACAGATGAGAAATCCTAATAATTCCAGTATTTCTATCAATAACTTAAAAGCTACCGGCAGCACAATGACAAATACCATTGACTGGATTGCATAACTTGCGATCACTTGCACATCTGCATTCATTTAGGCAGTCTGCACCCCACTGATCCATCCCACAGGCTATAAAACATGATTAATGTGACTTAAAACAATAACCGAAGATGTCTCCGACAATGCAAGTTCAGCATTACATGATTATTTCCGTCAGTAATGCAATAAAAAGATTAGAAATATATCAAGCAATCCAGGAATGCCATTTCAATTTTCCGATTGTTAGATCAAGCACGAGAATCACTCATTAATTTAAAAATTTGTTTTCTTAAAAGTAGGTATACACTAACTTAATTCACACTTTTCTCCCATGAAGCCAGGCGCACAATGACATTCACCGTCTATCGGATCACATTCACCCTTATTCTTGCATTTGTTGCATGTTTGAGAACAATTCATGCCCCACTTACCGGTCGGACATTCTGAAATAAGCTTTTCAGGTTAATTCTGGTCAAGTCTGAAATCTATAAGACGAAGAGCGAAAAAAGGAAGTGATAGCAGTTTAGGAACATAAACTATATACTCAAAGAGTTCCTTTCTCGATTTACAAAATTCTGCATGTTTCACTATTGACGCCCTAATACAACATTAGCTGAAAGAAAGTAGTTCTTTTGCACCTGCAATATAAAAGACGGAAGTAATCCCAAATACCTAGATCACATCTCGCACCCGTGAAACCGTGGTAACACTGGCAGCTACCATCGATGCTGTCGCACTCCGCACTTTCCGCACAATTACAATGATTCATGCACTTATCACCCCACGTTTTAAATGGACAACTTTGCTCACAGAATACACCACTTCGTCCGGGTGGACACTGTAAACACTCGCCAGTAAATGGATTACATCCATGCTTACAGGCGCACCTCTGCGCACATTTCTCTCCGTAGTAACCAAAAGGACATTCTAAAAAGTATGAGCGAATTAATGATTCAAAATAAAAAAATGAAAGAGTTGTTCAGAATCTCAAAGCGATAAACCAAATGGAATTCCGAATTGGCATGCTGGTTAGTAGAGATCAAAGTGATTGGAATGATCTAAATAGAAACATTTTACTTGCTACTTATCACAACAATTGAAAAACGAGGTTGTCAAATAAATCAAGTAAAATTTCTTGCAGATCACCACATCCAGACCAATAACTGTTGTACTTATTTTCTTAGTGTAATTAGTCCTCACTGAAACTTTCCTCGGCAATTCACTCAAAGACTGTTTCCAAGAAAAGAGAAAAAAAAGAAACAATGTTTAAAACAGAAATTAAAATGAAAGTTCTGAATTAAAAATAAAAAATTGAAATAAAATTTTTGTCCTAAAAAAGCAGTCAGAAAAGGTAAATATTAAAATTTTTGCTCAATATTGCACAGTGAAAGCAAGCACTCACTTCTGTCACATAAACGGCCAGCATAACCTGGACGACAATCACACTTCCCAGAATCACCCATACAAATTCCATGAACACATGGACATGAATCCAAGCAATTCTCTTTTTCTTCCAAAGGACATAACATTGAGCAATCCGGTCCTGAAAACGATATAATTATTCAAAACCATTTACGAATTAAACTTTAATTTATTTGAAATCCTCACATTCTATCACTTCTCAATTTTTTCAAAATTTAAGGATTAAAAACCAACCCGCCCATCCATCTGCGCAACTGCATTCGCCATTTATTGGATTGCATGTGGCGCCATTCCAACATCGGCATTCTTGCGAGCAGTTAATACCATAAAAATCCTAAAAGTTTAATGTACTTGCAGATTCAAAAATGAATTAAACGCTGACTCAAATTGCTCTAAAATGATCTGTTGGTAAAGATAATTTAAAATGACTGAACTGAATCATCTGATACCCTATCGATACTAGCAATATGCATTAATACTAATAATCAATAGTTATTATTCCTTTCATGCATTCAGTGAATAATTAATGAAAAATTAAACTCTAACTTTGCTGCATGGCACATCACAACTTTTTCCGGTCCATCCAGCCGGACAAATGCATACACCAGTTAACGGATTGCAACCGGCACCATTTTTGCAACTGCATACCCGACATTCTGTATTACCATGACCACCCCAACAAGGCAGATTACACTGTGGTCCTCGCCAACCTGAAATTACTTTACCTTTTATCATAACATTATATTTTTATCATACAAGTCTAGGTTAAAACCCAATGTCAATAACCCAAACTAGTAGTAGAGGAAGTCTGTGTATGTAACATACCAGCGGTGCACTTACAGGTACCAAAACGATGATCGCATGATGCACCATTTTTGCAATTGCATTTCGATTTACAGTCCATACCAAATAAACCTTCAGGACATTTTTCATCACAACTGAAAACATAGGGCTTTCTACAAAATGAGCTTGTGCATCTATAATGCCAAAATGATAACTCAATATTTGGTAAAAATAATTCAATCAAAACATTTCAATGGCTAAAAAATATGGAAATTTAAAGTTTTGTGATATCGAAATGGACTTGCATGCTTTACCGAATTCCTTGATATCCAGCAGCGCAAATGCATTTTCCAGTTACCGGATTACATTGCGAACCGGTATTTAGGTTACACTCGCATTTTTTCTTGCAATTTTCACCATAATACGATGTCGGACATGGAGAATTACAGCCTGCTCCCGTATAACCAGCACGACAATTGCAAGAACCAATAATTGGATGGCATCTTAAATTAAAATTGAAGTGAAAATATATGAACGGATAAATAAAATTATAATAAACTCCAGAAAATAAAAGAAAATAAAAATCAGTAGCGAAAAAGAAAGAAGCGAAAAATTACGCTGATAAACTTAATCTTACAGTTTCGTATTGTTTGGATTGCATGCACATTCATTTTCACAATTTGGTCCAAAACGATCAAATGGACAAACTGTAATTTCAAAAAGCAATTGTGCTAGAAGTGGAAATATTGACAAATTTAGAAGGTTTGATTAGTACAGAAAGAAAAATTAGCAGGAAAACAATTAATCTCTCAGGAACTAACCAAAAGAAATGTGGAAGTGACTTAAATTTAAATGGAAGTGACTTAAATTTAAAAATAAGGAAAGGTAACACTTTTGAACAATACTTTTGTGATCGCAGCGTTCTCCATGAAATCCTTCTAGACAAATGCATTTCCCACTAATCGGATGGCAGCGGGCTTCGTTTACACACTTGCATTTTTGCGCACAATGAAATGAGAATAATTGATGTATGTTAATTAGAAATATGTTAATTAATTGGGAACAGTAATTTAGAGAAATTAATTTAGTATCAAATTATTTTACTATTCGTAACAATTTTCCAGATGAGCGCTAATGGAAATAATTTGAGTTAAATAGTTTTCAGAAGTGTCAATTTACGATGACTATTGATTCTGTTCCGTTTGAGAAACACATATAACAAAAGAGAAAGAAAAGAAAGGGTTGAAAGTTGACGAATTTCGGTCAGATCAACTGACACTGTGTTTACACTATAGAAATAGCAGCAGCTTTAGTTATTCTAGTGAATGATACTTTTTTTCCAAATGTGCCTTCCGGACATGGCTCTTCGCAGTGTTTTCCAATAAAACCAACACAATGACAATTCCCAGTTACAGGATCACATTCATTTCCATTGTAACAGAAACAGTTTGATGCACAGTCAATACCATAATAACCTTTTTTACATTTGTTTTCACAAAATCGACCCTAAATTCAAAAAGTAATTTTATTTTTTGCATAAATTGAACTATTGACTTAAGTTTTGCCCAGAATTTCCTGAAAACTAAAATCAAGTTAAATTTGATATTAGAACACTTCAATTCTATTTAATCTTTGCAATTACACTGTTATTTCTGAGCCTTTCAAATCGGTAAAATTTACAACAAATAATCACCGAAAATCCTGCAGTACACATGCAACTGCCATCTTTTTTGTTGCAATATGCGCCATTTTGGCATTTACAGTCATGTATACAGTCAGGTCCATGCTTTCCCTTAATTAAATAGCCTTTATAATGAGATATCACACCTCATTAAATAGACTGATTTTAAGAAATCATGCAAATTTTATTAAAAATTTGGAATCATTAAGCAGTTCCATATAAATTGAATTAAGTTTCATGAAATTAAACTTTATGAATCATTCATTTGGTTTTTTCATTTTATTAAACTCCAAACTTCTGCATTCATATCATTAAAAAGTTTTACAAAAAATAAAAAACTCTCACTTCCTCACATTCCTCAAGACACAGTGGACCAGAAAATCCAGAAGGACACTTGCATGAGCCATCAACTGAGCTGCAGCTACCATTATTTTGACATAAACACAGGAATGCGCAACTTGGACCCCAACGTTTATCATTACATGGTTCCTCGCAGTGTTCACCATGAAAACCTGAAAATCTTAAATGTAAAATTTGTTGATGGCAACTGACATTAATTCAACTCATTATTGATATAATTCTAATTTTGTTAATTATTTCATTTGAAGCTTGGTAGTTATCATAGAGGAAAAACATTAACATAACAAATACCAGAAGGGCAATGGCAGATGCCGGTAATAGGATCGCAAGAAGCTCCGCGATTACATTCACATTTCAAAGAACAGGATGGACCCCAGAATCCTGATGGGCAGGCTGCAAAGCGAATCATGGTGAGTGTGATGAAAGCAGCAATAAATATAATAAAGTTTTATATTTCAAAAAATATCGTAGATTGAAATCTCAAATTCAGAATTCCCATCTTTTTTTTATAGATTAAATTTTTTAGAATTCAAACCTATCGAGCATGTAGGACCACCAAAACCAGAATTACATGTACAATTATTTGGTGCTGTACAAATACCTTTATAGCATGGTGGATCACATATAGCTACAATAATCACTGTTACACACATAATTGAAAGACACAAAAGTATTTAATATGTGATTTCCTAAGCAATGTGATACGTAATCTAAAATAGTGATACGTGCTCTATGCCAATGCGACGTCATTTTTTGTACTTCCAGTAAGCGACCGACTTTCTTGACATAAGATTCATCAGGTAGAAGAGCAAGGCTTATCAGATTCGACTTCATCAGAAAGTGTGGATACTTCACGTAGATTAATTATGATCATCAGTACTTTACTTGATCCTCGTATTTCCTCATATTTGTTTTTCATTATTTTGTTATTGCAATATCTTTTGAGAGTTCTTAAAGAGAAAAAATAATATTATTCTTTAAGGAAACTTACGAATGCACGTGTTATTGGTAGTTTTTTTATAACCATCACAACATCGTTTTACATATTCTACTACAATTTTTGGCACATGTCGATGAGATATTTTTTCATCATACCTAATTAATTAGAACAAAAATATTTGAATGTCTATTCAGATTTAATTAGAACAGTCTTGTTAACCCAAACTATTCCTATTTGTAAATTGGAAAAAAAAATTACAACAATTTTATGATTTGTGATAAGAAAATTTTGGAATGTCATAAAAAATTAAATATAATTTGAGCTGTGATTTGCACTTATCCAATCTTTAAATGTCGTTGGTTTTTGAAAATATTTTATTCTTTAAATTGAAAGAAAAGTCATGACAGAAGCCTTCAATTTTATAAAAAATTTTAAGCCAAATGTCCAACTGATCTTTAAATTTGCAACATTATATCTTCATGGTTCAAGTCCATGTTGTCTCATAATTTAGAAAAACTTAAAATAATTGTCTTCATTTTTTCATTATTCTTAAAATTCGATGTTCTGGTAAATTTATGAGAAATTAAAAGAAGTATCCGAATTGAACTATTTGTTTAGTAAATTTAAGCAATCCACAGATAATATTTACCTAATATCACTACAATTGAAACCTTTGTTAGTATCACCACACCAAACTTTCGTCCTATGTGGTATCTTGTGAACATATTCCTCCAATTGAAGTAATTCTTTTCTAGAATTGTTTTCACAATCATTTTTTTCTCTTTCCGGAAAATCACGTGCATTAAGTAAGCGGAAAATATTCCTAGTCCAAAAAATATATCTATCTGCATGTAAATTGAAAGAAAAAATTTCAATAATTCAATGTTTTATGGTGTCCAAGGCACAAAAAGCAAACATATGTATTAAATAAATGAATTTGAAGGATTATCAACGATCACACATAAATAGATTAATAAATTGACGGAAAATTTGAAAAGTTAACTTACTCTACAGGTACTACGCATACATTATCTCCAGTTGGTTCATTACAATGAACCAGTTTGATGAAACTTGCTACAGCAATAGGGAATAATTTAAGTAAGTAATGCATGGCCTGATTACTGAAAACAAACAACATGAAATATTTATAAGTTGTAGAAATTTGCAACAATATCGAACGGATCAAGTCAAACAATAATGAATTACAATTACTTATAGTAATGATAAGGGCTTTATCTGCTTCTTAAATTAATTGTTGGTTCAACCCAATGCCAATAAAATTATTTCAATTAAATGACACATAATAAAATCATTATCAATATCGATTTGTTTTTGTGAAACAAAATGTATCGCTTCTATTGATCTACTTATTCATGAGTTTTAGCCTTTTAAAATACTCTGATAAAGGAATGAAAGCTAGAGCCCATAAACTTCTCGTCAATAAGAACAAAAATGCAATGAATGTGTAAGTGTCACAAGTTCCTTTTCCGTCATTTAATTATGGTTCTGCTCTAATTTATGGTGCAGTCTGAACGGAGCTTAGATTATCAATGTCTTCAAGAAGCAGTTCCGGAAATGAATTATTCCAACAGAATGCAACAAATTCATCAGCAGAGTGATACTGAGTTACAATAGAATTGGAGTAAATAAATTAAAGGCAATTGTGAAACGGAAAGGATACAATTTTTTATTTGTTGGGCGGATCAAATTGGGACAGGCACGAATTTAATCGCTCTGTTCATTCTCGTTGTCTTTGCTACCCTTAGTTAGGTGAAAGGTTATTATTCTTAGTCAAGTGAAAATCTTTGAATAATTCTTCAGAAAATAAAAGTAAGATTTGACAAATTTCTAATGAGAAAATATTCTGATCAAAGCATGAGTTTTACTAATTTTTCTTCTGATTTATTCCACTTATCTAATGAAAATAAATGCATCAATACATGTGCATTGTCATGCAATTTCCCACACAAAAAGTAAAATTATTTATTCGTAAAAACACCATAATATTGCGAAGAGTTATTTTCTCACTACCCTACCCTCCATTATTATTAAAATAGTGAATATAAGCGGTGCGAACTATTTTAATATAAATTCAGTTAAAAGTATTAATGAATAGAGAATAATTGGAAGATAATCGATTCTTTTTACAGTAATTCTAATTTCCTTTTTAAATCACAGATAAAATGAAGATGAAATTTAATTTCAGGACAGTGTACTGATTCGATGATGACACCACATAATCATATTGACTAGATGATATTCTATAATGATACTATAAATGCATCGCATAATGTTTTTTTCACTGGCAACCAAGGATTTTAAAAGAAGTAAAACTATAAGACAGAAACTATTTGCCGAATTACCGGATTGTTCGCATTCAGTTCGGTGGGAAAAATTTCTCCGAGTACTGATTCATTGTTCAATTTAAACATCAGTGAAATTAGCAGAAAAAAAGTATTTCAGTTGTTTTCTGCGGTTATGAGACAACAAATGGATCTTCAATTCCGACTTCTCAGTTCCATTCAACATCAGATCTTTTCTTTCCAAATTATCTTCGACAAATTCATTATCAGTAAATGCATGAAACTGTAAAGTAACGTCCAATGAATAGTAGTAACGGTTTTTTTCTACAGCAAACTGATATTTCAGTTCTTTTCTGCTGTTTTTATAAGAGCTTCGAGATCTTCGTTCTTTATTTGTCAGTGAATGGAACAATGAGTCGATCTTCAATCATTATGAATAGCGCCTTTACAATGCAGTCTGCAATGTACCAAAGATTGCTGCACAATTTGCATATTGTTAATGTGGCAGGCAGTCTATAGCATGCACAACATCTACGTACAAATCCTTTTATCTCATTTCCTTTTTGAATTGCATTTTTTTTCAGTCACTCATTATATTACAATCACTGATTATATTATCATAGCAAACTGATAGATCACAACTCAAAAATGCTTCAGTAGAATAGCAAACTCTCACTTCGTCAATTTAAAAATTATTCAACAATGTGAAGCAATGCGTTTTTTAGACAAAAAAGGAAATGTAAGTTGACCAAGTTCGTTAATATTAAATTTGAGATATATGACTATAGATGAATTATTTCAAAACAAAATCAATATATTTAAGACAATTCTCCCTAAAAAAGCTAAGATATGGTACCATGAAAGTTCTTCCAACGAGTTTTATCCAATATTTTGAGATACCGTAAATTTCCAGCAGTTGTATAAACGAAAAAACGAAAAATATTCAAAGAAATAAATGATACTCATCCGAATCAACGATGGACATGAAAATTACAGATAAACACAGTTTGCTATTCCAAAAAAGCGCAACTGGATGAGCAACAGTGTGGAAAATCAGTTGAATTCCTTCTCCGGTTAGTGCTTCTCATTCCTGTTCAAATCAAAAATGACTGACTGCCTCATATTCTGCAAACTAAATAAAGCTACAATTAAACCCCCATATCAGTAATAAGGATACAGATGAAAACCACATGATTTTTAGGCTGTAGTAAGATGATTAACACTCCGTCAAAATTCCTATATATTTTTTTTTCATTTCACATTTAGGAACTCATTAAAAATTTTTGAAAAAAAAAACCCCAACAATTTTCTTAGAAAAAAAAACAAAAACATCAAATGTTTGCAAAATGTATACTGCATTCTCTCCTACTTTAATGTATTTTTTTTAGAATTTGATAGAAATAAAGTGATTGAATGAACAGAAAAACTGACAAGCCAATAACCTAAAATTTTCTCGAGATACCGGAAAAAATGCGCAACAAATCGCATGAATCAAAAAAGGAGCGAAACTGAAACCTTTTTTGCTCAAAATTAAAGAAACATAACAAAAACTTGAAATTTTATGCAGATTTGAAATTACATGCACAGAAAATCTTTTCAGTTAAGTTGCTTCAAATCTTTTCAAGCAGTTATTTCAAATAAACTCAAAGGAAGACTGAATCATGACTACCAATACAGTATATTATCTACAAAAAAAGGAAAAAAAAGACTTCAAAGCATGTAACACCAACAAAATTCAAAGCTAAAACATGAATGACTCACGTGGTTGCAATATTCTACGCTCAGAACATCAAACACCTTCACATTATGTTCATCCAACAATTCACTTAATATCATGAATAGTTTGGTTTATCAAAAAGAAAAAAACACTTTTCTTTTTGTGTTAAATGTAAATAGTAGCACGAGATGTTTCCATGGCAATTATAAAAAAATATTCATGAATAAATTTAAATTCTTTATTCCCAATCAATTTACTTAATAGCTTCATCAGTTGTTGTTTTGAAACACTTATGATCCGTTCAACTGAATTTATTACAGCAGTACTCATTGAAGAGATATGAAGTGGAATTCTTTTTTCTGTAGTAAAAAGTAATGCTGGCTTGTTCTACATATTTTCACATTTTATTATTTTATAATGTACTACCATATTAAGCTCTCCGCTATACTATTTGTTTTCTTTTATAATTCATTAAACATAAAATCTACTATATTTCCATGACGATTTTTAGCACCACATATAATACTGCTGCTTTTTATAATGTTATATCAATATAGAGTGAATTGATAATTAACATCAAAATTAACATCATCCTTTCCTACCCCTCGTATATATCCGAAACTTTTTTCGTAGTTTCGATCCTATCAAAATTCAAGGATTATTTACCTCTTGTAATATTGTTGAGAGTTTTCCAAATTTCATAATATACCTCTAACTTTAAATGCCTACTAATTATTATGCATTTTGAATCGTGCAAAGTCAATTAGCCATGAGTTAGGAAAGTTAAGAAAGGTGTAAAGATGAAAATAAAAGCTTTGACAAGTGTAGATGTGCAAAGTAAAGAAAAGGAAGTATATAGACTGATACATTTCACTATTCTATATTGGTTTAATCAACATAAACATAACACAACAGTTTCAAGTCCCGCATAATGAAATCTAATTTTCAACGCAATTTTTAACAACTCTCTAGAAATCAGTAATCAGAAAGCAAAATGACTCAGAGAGCGGCTAGTAATTTAGAGCATCATCCGACAAAATAAAAGACAAATTAAAAAGTTCCGAAATCTTGTTGAGATCGAACCGATTTGGATAGGTAATATGAAATGTCAATCACTGAAAAAACTGATTTTATTTTGAAGTGATTCTCTATAGTTATTATGAGGTTTTCAAGTCAGACTGATTGCACCCCGATAAATTATAATAGTAAACATAAAACCAACTTTTGTTTGTAGAAATAATTTACTATACTTTAGGTCAACGTCTCTATCGGATTAATACTAAAGAGAAAAGCTATTATTGACTTTTAAAGAGAAATAAAATTTCAACTTTTTCCTATGATCACATATTTGAAACGAACCTGAACTGTGGGTGCTTGTGCGGTACGTCGCATTGATGGAGTCCGCCGCCACAACGTAGATTCCCTACTACTACGCTGCGTGTATTCGCCATCAGCAAGAACTTGTCGTGGAACCGACGAACCATGGAATTCAATTTCGAACTAAAAAGCTATTATTGACTTGAGTGATTTACATTGAGTGATTTATTATCACCAGAAAAAAACTACTGACCTTAGTTGCACAAACGAAGCAAGCAGTAACAAGTTTAGCAATTTCATTCATCAAATTCTTCGTCTCTTGTATCACTGAATCAACCTGCACAGAAAAAGTTATTCGTCTAGGGAAGTAACTTCAATTAAATATGTCTTACCAAGTATGATCAAATAATCTCAAAAGACAATTTAAACTACTAAAATCGAAAGGCGAAAAAAAAAATTAGACCAGATGGTTTAATCAGCGACTGTTTAATGATCCAATTATGTAACTAAATATTCAGGACCGTTAGAAAAAATGATCGAAATCTAAATACTGTTGAAAGCAAATGCACTTTTATTACTGTGATAATTGGCTAACAGTAATAACATATATAAGTTACTTTGGAAAATGTTGCTGGTTTACCAACTGTTGGACTTTTTACAAGTACTTGCAGCTGCTGACAATGTATAGGTATCTTTTCCAGAATTGTTGAAAGATCGTTTTTCTCAGCACTTCCAGGTACCTGAAATCATGAATTATAATATGCTGAAAAGATAATACAGCACTTATTAGAAATAATATTATCGAGATTATTATTAATATTATTACTATTACCATTATTATTGTTAATTACTATTTTACTATAATTTATTATTATTACTATTATTATCTATTTACGCTGATTTCCCTCCAAAAATTAATAAAACCAAAACAATACCTCATAAGAAAATTCTCGAACCGTTTTATACATTTTGTTAGCTTGTTCTGCAAAAAATTCTGCCTGTGTGAAAAGGTCATGTGTTGTTTTCAGTGGTCCGTCGCCTCGAGTGAAAAGATACATATTGTAAGCCATTGATGACATTGCTTTGGCACGCTTCACAATATCATTTTCCGCATATTCATCCCATTTTTCTGCTTCTGCATCAACTTCGGAAGTCAGGAGTTTCATCTCCAAGCCAACTTTAGCAATTTTTTGTTGATCCTGAAAGCGGTGGAAATTTAGCATTGAAATCCTGAATACCATTGGGATATTCTTCTAATGAGCTGTACTTTTTATTCTCATTAATTAAGAATAGCTAAAATGATCGAAGCTATTAGGACAATGAAACTTCTGATGGTGGCTGCTCCAGTTAGTATAACTTAATAAGCTATTTTATTTTATTTCTAGCTTACTCGATTCCAAGTTTACCATTACAAATCGACACTATCTAAATTCTTTTATGAAAAATATTGAATGGATTAACTGTGTTTTGCGTCATATTCTATTCTCATATAGATCGATTGTTTGGAGCAACTTACTTCCACATCAAGCGTAATCGGCTTCGTTGGCTTTTGCGTCGTCCCATGTTTCTGAAAACGAATCAATCACCTGTAAAATGCGATCAATCAATGCGAGCTGGTTGAAGCAACCATTTCTCGAACAATTTTCAGCTCAATTTTAACAGCAGCATTGGTCTTCGGTTAGGCAAGAGCTTAGCCAACATTAAGGTTTACCTATCAACCAAAATAAAAACATTTCCTGTAGTATATACCTAATCAACAGCTTATGAATCACCATATATTAACGATTCTTTTTATTAGACAATATTTAGTAGGCTAGTGGTAGTTAGCTGTATAATAGCGGCCTGCCCAAAAATTGTAATAGTTTTAATTATTACAGATATGGAACGAACGCCATACAAAGGAGTGTTACTCAACTCTATAGTACCGAAGATAGTTGTCTGATTCATTTTTTTAGCTTTTCTGTTCAAACCCTAATAAATCAAACGCGACCACAATACTTTTATTCCAATATTTTTGATTATATATTTTAGTCATTTTTACATGCACCACATAAATCATAGCATACAGTAATTTAAGCGCAGAAAACACGACTATGAAAGGATTTGGGGACATAGCTAAAAGTTAGAACAGATTAAACCTTTCCGGATTGAGAAGTTCCAGATCACGTTATATAAAAGTTTCAGATGCAGTAAGATCACAACTGTTGATCTCAGTTTTTGGATTCAATTTTTTTATCTCGTATTCAGTACCAGACGTTAACAACCATGTTTCGAGCATTCGAACCAACGGTCATAAGTTTTTCAAAATTTTTGAAAATAAAGAATTCGAAGTCTGATACAGCTAACAATCATACCACCAAATAATCACAAAGCTCATGCAAATCACTTCACAATACTTATCAATACCAGTATATATCAGACCTTGCTGATAAAAACATTTACAGCTCTCATGAAATTCTGACCGGAGGAGAGGAGGGGGAGAGGAAAGAGAAGAGATGAAAATTTAATGATTAATGATTAAGTGATTCATAAAGGCAGCAATCTAATGATTAATGATTAAGTGACAACGAACTGTTAGATATGCGCACAAACAGATACTGCCTTTCATATTGGCTACTTTCCTTCTTAAAGAGGATTTTTAATAGAATTAAATGTGCATACAGCAATCCTTACGTGAAAGGAAAAAATTTTCAGTGCTAGAATTGGATATTTGAAGGGAAAAGAACTTGTAAAATGAAATATTCCATGATCTTCATATAAATTTGAAATCTAAAATATCTAAAAAGTAGACAACTAAATAATGGCAGAAATATAAACACTTAAACAGAAATGAGAAATCTGCCGATTTAAGTTTCAAAATCCGCAGATTTTTAATTCCTATTCAAATGCTTGATCTAATTTTAAATCTGTAAATTAAGAGAAGTTTAATGTTTTAAAATAATAAACAAAATAGTGTAAAGTGAAATTAAAGAACAAGTGAAAGAGTAAGTGACAACCACAATAAGCACCCAATGCAAATTTGATAAAAAACATAATCATAATCACTGATATGTTAACAAAATTTGATAAACATACAATTTTCACAACGATGCACAGAAAAGGTAAAGACTCATGCAGAACCAAAAGTTTGTTGACAAGACCATCACACACCAGAAAATAAAATCCAAAAATCCTGCAGACCAAATTTCACTTTTAAAATAACTACAACTTTTTTAAAGCCACTTAACAGTACTTTATTCTATGTTCAGGAAGAGGTGGAGGTAGTGGATCACGAATATGCACCTCACTCACTTCATCCTGTAAAGCATCTAGTATGTACTGATAATTAGCACCCGCGATAAAAGACTTGTTTGTGTTTGATACTGAAATACTCGACGAATAGCTAGTGTTTTCAAAGAGCTGACAGAATTGTTCTGGTGGTTCTGTAGCACCCTTCAAATGTCTGATAAGCACCAAACCATCAGAGTAAAGTTGGCCTTCTAATTGTGGATGAGAGGATGTTACACATTTTGGATAGGAAAGATTAGATGAACGGTCGGAAGATGGTGATGAAGTGGCAGACAAACATGGTATACAGTCATTTCGATGGCAACCTATAGTCGACTGACTTACCCCTGGCCTAGGCAGCGACATATAAGCTTGTTTCTCCGCTGCTAAACGACCGCTTGCCGCTGCATCTGTTTCTTTGGCTAATCTCGACAAATCATTAACACACTGTGCCCATGTGTCACAAAAAACTTCCACATTCTCTCGTGCTATACGTGATGATGGATGTATACACAACGTGCGACCAGCCAACAATGTCTTCAAATCATAATTATTTAAACGATTGAATCCTTCGAGATATTTTGCATTTGTGAAGAAATGCATCCCAATTGAAGTATAAAATAATTCTAATTCTTAAAATAGTATTTTGGAAATAGATTAAAACGAACCAGGGGAGCAAGAGATCGTAAGTTCCGTTCTGCGTGGCCTGTAGCAACATGTAAACCATCCGTTAACGATATATGATGTAACAGTCGACATACCCAAATTAAAATTCATTATACAAGCTTCTCAGGCAACACAATTATGTATATCTAATTTATTTATAGAAAGAAACTAAAACAGTCTAAGACCAGTGCGTCGAGATGTTATAGCCTAACAGATACTTATGTTAAATAAATTTCGTAGCTATGATCATTTTAGAGCAACGATTTAATAATCAGAATAAGTCTTCCTAGTCAAAAGACAAATGAGATAAACATGAAAGGTACTTCCTGTATATGTTCTGAATGCTCTCGAAATTCTTCAAGAAATTTTTCAACACCATCAATATCACCCGACACAGAACATGCCTTTATGGATGACAAAATTACTTGGTCTTCATTGGTACGTAATACTTCCGACATCTAAAAAACAATAAAGGAAATAATAACCATAATAATATTATGTGTGACATAAAATTAATGAAAATTTGAACTACAAATACTTGCTTGTTCCATTGCCACAATTTGCAGCTGTTTCTTCAGGTCCTTCAGTCTTCGAGTAAGCCTCTCAACACTTACTTCGATACTTTCATTCCTTAGAGGTTCATCAGCAACCTAATTTGATCATATTAAAATAATGCTTAAAACACTTAAAAACATTTAGGAAAATGATAAATACTGAAGTACTAAATACTGCAGTACTAAAAAAAAAGAAGTACTAAAAACTAGAAAACAACATAAGACCGTATGTAACCATATTCAAAAAAGGTTTTCTTTATTCGCATGAAGCCAATTCATATAACATAATTGGTTAAAATGTTGATGGTATATACGGTATATACGATTATCTGCCAAAAAATTTGAGATTGAGATCCTTAAACACGAACCATTTGCTAATGAAAATAACTTACATCAGGCTGTATAAGATTTGTCAATTCAAAACGACATTCTTCCAAGAAATCCAAAATCTGTTCCCGATGATGATGCGGTGTATAGGCTGAGTCGGTAAAATCCTGAGTCATTTCACATAAAGAATCCAGAGCGCTTATTAATCGTTCCCTTGTACCAGTTCCAATATTACATGTCATTCTTACCATTTCCAACATTTCCTAAAAAGAACAGAAAACTTTTACCACCTTCAAAATATGATAACTGAAATCAAAGCGTTTGTGAATAAAATATTAACATTTACAAAGAAAATCATTAACTTCGGAAATATATAATCGACTGTTATAGCTAAAAAACAGTAAATACCATTAACCGCCTAATAGCTGCATTGGCAGTTAGTTGCATTCCAATATCTAAAACTTCTTCACTAGAGGGTGATGTAAAATGTGATGCATCAAAGTGCAATACACCATCAGAAACGCAAAGCGCGATCAACTGAAGGGCCAAACGCATCTGAAAATAATTTATACATACATTCGTTATTATATCCACACCACGTACATTAAAATATTCCTAAAGCTTTACCAATAATCACAGCATTTCGGATTAAAAGACTTAAGCTCCTTTTTTTTTTTTTTTGTTTTAATACCATGAAAATTAGACATTTCAAAAAAGAACCTGCTGAAAAACTCCATTTCGACACTGCCGTGCACTATCGCTATCTGGATGTCTTAAAAGCGTTTTATTTGAAGTTAACAGCAGCATCGTCAACCGTTCCAGCATCGTACGAGCTACAGCCATTTGTCCACGCCGTTTCTCACTTTTTAAATCATTCTGCCGATCACCTGAGCGATGAGCCAAATCAACCATATCACCACCAAATTCGGTAAAAATTTTTACAAAATCTGTGAAATTAGTTGTATTTTCTAATTTCACCAGTGAATATGCTATCTGTAATAAATCAAACATAAAAAAAAAAAAATAGAACTGCATCTCTCACTAATATTTCGCAATTTCAAGATAAGAAAGCTTGAAATTTTCCTTCTCCAAAATCTTTGAAAAGATATCGAACTTCTACAAAAATAATGTTAGAGTGATATTTCGGAAAAATCTAATATTGGACATGAAAATTGAAGTCTAAGTTTCCACCTTATCTTCAGATCTAAGAATATGTTTGACAAGAACACGATCTGCTAACAAAAGAACTCGTGTTACAGAAGTTAGAAGCTGTCGTGCAGCTCGCACAAGAACAGATTTATCAATAGCAATACCCGAATCATCCGTTAAACAACCATTTAAATTTGCTATTGAAGCTCCTGCAAGCTGATCATAAATTCAGTATGCAACCATGTCCAATAAATTTTAAAGTTATTCTGCTTACCGTTAAATGCTTTTAAAATAAAATGAAAGACTCCATTATTGTGCAATATTTCTAAATGCCATCTAAGCAATAGGTATATTAAAAAAGAAATCTACCAGTGAAAAATTCAAGACAAACTGTTAAAGATAAACTGACTGTTAGCTAGGTAAAAAGTTCTTTAAATTGCTACCTGCGAGTCGGGCTTCGTGACATGCATCATACATTTCCGGTTGTACATCTGGATTTTCATCGGCAATCGTTTCGCCGACCACTACAAAACGTTCAATAGCTGCTTCTACTGCTGATCCTATCTAAAAAACATAAAATTAACTTCTGAAATAAAAAAATTATACAAAAATCACTGCATCGAATTAAAAATGTAGACAAACTGAAAAGGGTTATTGATGAGCTATGAGCTATTTAATCCTTGGATTCAAATTTTTCATTGAAACAGTCTCTCATATATTGTCAACAGGACTTCATTTTGGAATCACAGTAGAGGGCTAAAGAAATTATCTACTTTCAGAGCTGAGCGAACAGCTTTCTCGGATCGTTTTTTACCACTTGACAAATAACCCTCCTTGAAATTCACCAGCGTTGTTATCTGAAAAAAACAGTCCTTTAGCAATTTCGAAAAGGAGAAAACAAACAGCTGTCTACATGATAATTTTAGATTGTATTTTACAATGAATACATGCTGGAATGGAAAAGATCAAAGTACTAACAGGCTTGGAGAATGTTCAAATCACTTACAATTCTGGTCATTAATGTATTATGTTAGCTTCCTTAAGAAAGGATTACCTATAGAAAATAAGACTTAAATACTTTTTGCTTCTGCAATTTACTATTAACTAGCAATCATCATTTTTTGAATTTAAGTATCGCAGCAATGAAGTAATACATTTACTTTAACCGAAATTCATAAACTATCCTAATTAGGATGGTGTAATAATTTAAGTAAATCCTTCAGAACCTGTGAATCAGTGGATAGAAATAGCAGCCGTTCTGTTAACTAGATAATATTATAGTAAATGAACTTGTACCTGAGTAACAAGCGGGACAAGAGTCTGCTCTATTGATTTCGTTTTGATTTCAAGGCTATGTGGATCGAAAGCACATGATGTATTTACTGCACCATTTACCAGCGTACTATTCATGGTTCTTGACTTTGTTCACAAACGCACCAGCTTCCAACGTCACTTTGAACGTTACATATGTCACCTAGCTAAGGCTTACTAGATGCATACACATACAACAGTCAAACCTTGCTACTGAAAGTAACGAATAATATTAGACTCACAGGAAAAATCACACGAGAAACTCTCCTACGATTTTTCTGTGATTCTCCTCTCTGCTCTAGTTTTGAATAAAAAAATCCAGAAGTCATAAGTTACAAATCGAAAGTAACAAATGAATGTCATCAAGATAGACATTTTCCAGTTTTGAATAAGAAAACCCACAAGTAGTATACTGCTGATAAACAGAGAAAAATTGAGCATTGAACTGACCACAGTTAGAGAAGAATTAAACATCAAATTACAATGTAACTGATAATCCATATTAATTCCCCCTCTCCTCTCCATTTGGTCTAAGAAGCTTGACATAATTCATTCAGTTATATAATAACTTTGCTTTCGTACACAACAAAAAATAAATGAACAAATAAGGAAATAAATGGATTGCATAGAACAGTCTCTCGGGATGATATGAAAGGTGACCCCGAGATGACCCCAAGGTATCACAAATATCAACAGTTGTTCAGCATCATTTACTGGAAGAGAATGAAAGGAAGGGAAGCTATGTCTATCTTCTTCGTTCTTTCCGCTTCCTTTTTTTCTTTTCAGCTCTCTCACCCAATAATTCGTTTCTCAGATGGAACTAACACACCTTTCTTTCTTACAAATCGAAAAAATTCGACCGCTTGAGAATTCTCCAAGGTTTCTTCTGGCCACTCAGCTAGTATGACCTTCCAATGACCAATAACTTGTAATCTTATTGGTCACAGCTATACTTTGTATTTGAACAATAGATGTTGCGTAGAGTGGACGGCAACAGATTCATCGATGACTCACTAAAAAACATTAGTATGTATCGTAAGGGTATGACCTTTCACCGCAGTAATGCTCCTCTGAACTGCTGTAAGATTAAAGTCCTCTGAAAATGTCCTATCCAGTGTACTATTAAAGGGAGATAAAATTCTATTCAGGAGCAGCCATCTCTCAATCTCATAAACGACATCTCTTCTACAAGTAATTTTGACTCCAATCGGCTTAATTATCCTAATTCAACTCAATCTTTTTTGTCCTGGCAGACGATAAGTGACAGTTATATATTTCTGTCACTTGTTAATACTTTTTTAAATACCCACACAGACCGATTTATTCCAACGTTTACTTTTGAAATTACTGCACATTTTACGGCATGATAATCATTACTTACAAATAGTTGAACAGTGTTTCATAAGATGTGGTCTTATCGTTTGTTCTTCTTTGAATTCATTAAGAGAAGAGTGTAGGAATTCCACAGAAGCAAAATGAAATATTTCTAAATTAATTGACCAAAAAACTATTATCATTTTATTATTATTTTACCTGGACAAATCCTATCTAATATTCATGGGACATAATAATAAGCGATGGGAAAGTGGTAAAATGCTAAGGTATTATACTGCTAGCAAGTAAGAATTGAATATGTTTAAAATTCTTCTACCAAACCATCAGTTACAAATGAAATAATTTAAAGAAGTAATCGGCTTGGATGGGATCAGTAACTCATTCGAGATAAGATACTTTTTCTTCAGCTAATCAGTGCACATTTCAGGAATAATCCTAGTAAATAATGATCTTCTCGGTCTTCTCAGTTAACAGTATGATCGCAGATTTCTCCATTCAGTAATTCTTGAATTGATTTTCAATACAAATTTAGAAACGTTTGGTAGAATATATCTGTCATATTCTATTAAAATATTAGAGAAAATAAGTGTTTTAAAACAAATATTTTTTTATAGAGAGAAATCGATGGAATGTTTACAACAATGTTTAGTTTTGTCTTTGCTGAAGGGAATATATGAAAGGAAGTGTACATAAAAGTTCGTCATCAACAATATATTAGAACATTTTAGGAAAGAAGAAGAAACAGATGGAATTATTTCGAAGGTGATACGATTTAGTATGGCGAATATCATTTAAAATTATGCAAGCTAAAATAGTAGAGATAAAAACAAATGGAATGAAAGCAAATGATCCCACAAACATTCAGTCATCGACTAGAATGATAATTCAATTCGAAGCATTAACAATCGAAGTGATAGTAGCAACCATTTGCTTTATCATTAATGCTATCACTGTTAACATCATTAGTGGAAGGAGTACTAATAGTTGTAGTAAACAAAGCAGATGATGAATTTGTGTCCTCGCTTTCCGGTCGAGTTAATTACTATAAGAACGAATTAACTTATATATATATATTAAAAACAATAGAATTAATAACGTTAATCTGAAATTGATGTAATGGGTGGTATCAATTACATTGATGGTATGGAATTGTGTCAACTACATGATCTGTGACAATCTTTTTTTTTCATCCAAACCAAGCTTTTCACCTCCTCTAAATTACGAGTGACAATTGGGAAGGACTTGAAACTAACGATAAAAAGAATAAAATGAGATTAATTTCCCAGCATATAATTTGTTGAATCCTTACCTGAATATTTTACCTAAATATTATCAAACAAAGACCCGGTAACTCGATCGTCAGCAAATGTTATTCTGTATTTTTATTTACAGCAATATCGCAATTCGAGATGGAAATTATAGCCACCAATTAATCACAGAAACTTTTAAATGTAAAAATGTATGATTGTAATTATAAGCTATAACTGAAAAAATATTCTCACAATTCGGAATTTTTTGATGATATACTTTAATCCGAAAGCAATTTAATTTCGGTTATTTTCTTTTACAACAAAAATAGGCTGAATTGGATGGTTGATGCATAGAACGAACATTTTCAAACTAAATAATATCAAATTTAAGGTTTAGACATAGTTGAATTATGAGGACATTTTCATTTATCTGAAGAAGTCAGAAATCAGAATGCTTAAGATAAATGATATCTTTATACGACTACTATTTCAGTCATTTTCAAATCTGATCTATTATTCTGTTTTTCATTCCTATCTTTAACTGGAAAAAAAAAAGACGTACACTGAATCACAAAGCAGATTAATTAACAAATGATAATTTTCTTCTTGAATCGATAATTTGCAAATTGATTACATCATAAGGTTCGTTGCATTAATAAGTTAAAACTAATAGATGGTAAACGGGAAAGAATTATCAAATATAAAAAATGAAGTGAAATATTCTATCATGTTTTTCGTCTTCAATTCCATGATGCAATAAAGTCTCAAATTCTATTTTATGCAGTTCTTGTATATATAAAACATAATGAATGGGGAAGAATGTTACTGACCGATTTTGATCAATAAATCAATAAACTTCAGCAAAATATATATTTTAATAAACAGTTACTACCTGCCCTTTCAAAATTAATTCTAGAAAATGTTTATGAAATAAAATAAAGTAACTTCAAACAAAAAATTCAGAAAGTTGACTCTTCTAAGAGAGAAAGTATTCATTATTAAATATTGATTGCTTTTGTCACTATCGCAAGCGGTTGATCGTCTCACATACCCGTTTCGTGAATAGAGAAAAAATTTTGAAGTGATATTTTTTGATCATTTAATTTGATTTTTGATTTAAAGTTCTGAAAATTACTCCATGCAAAATTGGCCCTTATGTCTTTGAAAAATTACTTCTTGAAAACTTGAAAGGTAAATTTTTGTAATTTTGTTTAGAACATACTTACCAGGAGTGACGGATGTAGCTAAAATTTTCATGCACATCGAAACTGAACCTTAGATAATAACTTAATTCATTGGCAGTCATAACTTCTTGCTAATTTGTTTCTCCGAGATTTTGCGACAGTTCTAATTTGTATGGAAATTTCAAAAATTTAAACTAAAAATTATTGGGAATAATAAAAACAATCTTTTGTTTATAATCTTAAATTATGGTAACTAGTAGATCGAATGCTGTAACTTGTTATCATGTTGAACAGATATGAGGAGATAACGAAAGTTAAACATATCAGCATTCCTTCATTTTGTTAGTATGGAATGCGTGACTTTTGACCTTAAATCACCATACATAATTTTACACTGGAATTTCTGACTTCCACTTCGGATCGAAATTGAGCTACTGTCAACATGCTTTTCTATTTTGAAACCCAACAGTAACTGTTTATCTCATCTTACTTAATTAATCATTTCTTGTAAAAAATGTGAGTATTGTTTATGTGTTTTGTTTATTCATAATTTTTGATTCAAAATTTGAAAAGTCATCAATAAGGTTACTTGCATTATTATGAAGACTTAAAATTAGTCATCTTTAAAAGGAAGCTATTAAAATGGTACTAAAGCAAAATGGTATTTTAGAGCACCAGCTATGCATATCAAACGTTTTGCAAACAATGATTAGTTTAAATGTAAACAAAGAATTTCGGTCATAAATTAACAAAAACACAAATCCAGCTGCTGACGGCATTCTTTCAGCTTTGAACTGAATTTGTTTATAAGCGTATATTCCATGTAAATACCGAAATACAGTAGGATAATTACTATTACTGAAATCACGTCCAAAAATAAATAAAGCCTTCGTTGAAGTCGACTACACATCCATTCTAAAAGTTTCAGAGCTCTCGTTGAAGAATTTTGATAAGAGTTTTTTTAAATACTGAATTATTTTCTTTCATTCTATGCCTGGTTAAAATAATTCAAAGATTGTGAACGGTTGAACTAGTTGAGTTCAACTGAATTAATTTAGTAAACGTGAGAATATGAAACAAAGTTCTTACTTAAAAGAGATTGCAATGAAAATATAAATTTGATTAAGATCATCTAAAAGTAAATTTCTCCGAATCACTTCCATTTTTGGTTTATCATCATTTTTATAAGTGAAATGAAATTTACAAGAATAATTCCTTATGATTAATGTCCTCTTTCTTCACAAGGATTTACGAATTGGAAGAATGGAGAATTCAAAACTTTACAGATGAATAAAGCCAAAAATTTACATTTCAAAAAAAGACTTTCGAA